GAGTTAGTTCTTTTTCAAGAACTAGATTCAATCACTAGTTCAATTTTTCTTTTGAGTACTTCCGGTGACCAGATTTGAGTAGAACAATTGAACCTAGCGACGATCCTCTTTGAAAAAGCTGAAACTTCACCCAACACACACTCTTATTTGTTCCAGATCATGTTGAGTCTCAGTTAATTCAGTTGAAGTTCAACGATCTTCTTTCTGCAGCAAGTTTATTAGTTACTGCATGTCGTTTCTTTCTTAATTGTAATACAGTAAGTGACATTTTGTCTGTCAGATTCATTCAAAATGATCTTAAACAAAAATCAGATTGCTTTTCTCAATATTAATGTCTTTATTTTCCTATGTATCAATACTTGTCAATTTCATATTAAATATAGAGTCAAGAGTTACACTATCTACACCTCTATAATATGAACTCCTCTTTATAGTCAACACTCTAAATTGACACTGAACGATTTTTTGTCCGAAACCGATCACTTCTTAGTAAGGACCTATTTATAGTGAAACATGAATGCTTTTTTCTGACTTCTACTAATTAGAAAAAACTACTTGAAGTGAACTCTTTGTTTTACTCCGTTTCTTACATGCTCTGATGCACATATAAGAAGGAAACACTTTTAAATATTTTCATGGATATTCATATTAGAGAATTTTTACCGATATCATCTAAATTGATCCTATTCACGTTTTGGATTTTCTGTGAAGACTAATACTTGATTGTATTTTATTATTATTATGATATTGACGTAGAAAAAATTGACAGGCCTTCATAGGCTGGCGTGTGGATATTTCCATCATTCACACCCACACCCTATTTTTTGCTCTTTCTATCATTTTTGGAAATCTAAAATGCCTCGATATTGGCAGTTAAGAGTCAGTCGTGAAGATAGTTGTTCATAAAACATGCTAGAAAATTATTTTGATCAACTTTAGTCAAGAAAAAAAATGGGAGAAAAAGTATTATTTTGAAAAGATTAAGGAAGATAACCTGAACGAATCAATTTTCTTTCTCAATGTAGGAATATATCCAATTGAGCTTATGAAACGAACGAGAACGCATTCTATAGTTCCAAAATGGATTTTGAATCCACTGAAACCGATCAGGTATTTAGAGGAACGACCGAAAACACATTCCTTTTTTTCTAAGACAGACGTTGAATCGTCTTGAACTGATTCATCAACTCAAAGAATCTATTCTTGAGCAATTCTGTTGAGAACATCAAATAAAGCCATCCGGTTTTGAAGAAATCTGTTCCTTACCTTTCCACAGAAGAATGGAAAGGAAACCACTCTCATAATTAATAGAACGGTTTAGAATGTTTTCTATTCAGATCAGGAACGATTTAGGACTGAGAAGAAAACCTTCTATAATAGTGAGAAACGGCAAAGAACGCGTTTCTTCAAATAGAGAACGTATTCTTCTAGATTATGAACGCATTCAGTAAATTATGGAACACGACCTTCATGGATAAGAAACCTTTCTCTAATCTAGAGAACGCGTTCTCTTCCGGTTTTTTTGGAATATTTTTCACTGGGTAGTTTTTAAAAATCTTTAAGCTCTCTTATTTTATCCAATGAATTGAAATTTGCCAATGAATGTTCATTAGTATGATCTATCAAAATTTGCAAAAACAAAATACTTAATACGTGAGCAAAAGATGTTGATATTTGTGTTGTTTACTTAGATTTAATTATCGAGTTTGATTTGTCATTAATGGTGATTGATCATTTGTTGACGGTGCTAATGATGATTCATCATTCGACGGTGATGCTAATGATGATTTATTATTCAATGTTGGTGCCAATGGATATATTTGGTCAATATGAAATCTAAAACGTTTAACAATATTAATACTTCTCCGCTGTATTTATTACTGTCGATTTCAGAAAGATTGCTTTCTGAGAACGGCAATAACTGAGTTTAATAGTACAGTTATTCTGAAACTTACTGATCTAAACTGGTGGTCAAACGATCAAAGTTCGTGAGGACGTTTTCATCAGCTAAAAGTAGAAAAGTACAATATAATTGTTATCGAAGACACAATCTCATTTAGCAGTAAGAAGAACAAACGTGGTGTTACATATGATGCACATTTCAGAATCTTTAGTACTGTAAATCAGACTATTTATTGATATATCTATTTCAATGTTTGGTCAAAATCAAAAGAAAGAAAATGTTTTTGCAAAATGAATTCTATGATACTAAACGAAATCATTTGAAGTTGTTCAATACTTGAACCATAATCATTTTTTTATATTAATGAGTAAAATAAAGGCAAACATATAGAACAAAATTCTTTTTTTCCGATTTGATCATTTTCTTTCTCTTGTTTCCCTCGATCTCTTGATCCAAAATACAAAGTCTATGAAGCGACTGAATGTTTAAGCTTACAATTTAATTGAGAATCATTTTTGTTTCTTGTTCTTTTGGTTGAATGAGGTTTTCGATGAATTGTTGAATTGACCATATCAATTAAAAAAATATTCTAAGTAAAAACATGATAGAATAAGATCTTTCTATCTTGACTAATGACAAAAATTTAGAATCCAGTAATTTTTCAGTTGATTGTGTCTAACAGTATCTATGGTCAACAAATTAGAAAAACTCCTCTTACCAATCTAGTTGAATCCCAGAGAATAAAAGATACTTCAGTGATAAATATTGATCCGATTGAACAATGACTTCAACTGTATTGCCTCTCTAAAACTACCAGAAAGAAACATCTTTTTTTTACCGCTACATCTATTTCTGTCAATCGCAAACACATATCACAAGCTCTCAATTACATATGATTAATCAATTCGATATAAGATTCCATAATGACCGAAAAACGGGACAAAATCAATTTCAATCGTATTAGAAGATTAATTAATCTATTTCTTACATCATTTTTTGAAGAATACGATGAATACGACCGGTTTTGAATTTGATATTTTTGGTGATTTTACCAATTTTTTTAATTGTAAACGAAACTGAGACGAGCCAAAATTTGAATTTCCATCCATTATTATGGATTGCCATTCTTTTAGCAGACAGTTTTTAATTTTTCTCTTCATTTGAAATAAGGCTTTGATCTGAAAAAAAAAATTATATCGAAATTCAAAATCTATGACGAATGCCCATTTACTGCATGTCACGATATATATATATATCGATATGGACTGAATTTCCTTTCTATATCTTTTGTTTCTTTGTTTGTTTTTCCGTTGTCGAATTCCTTATTTCATTCGTTCATCCTTCTTACTTTTTATTCTCGTGTTGCTCCATTAATAGATTGGTTGAGATAATCTACACACACACTTATGTAAATGAAAATAAGTTTTTTTTAATCTAATGATAAATATAATTGTATCTATTTAAGAGTATTCTTACACCATTATCTAGTATTCTATCTCAATCATTGCACGAACATTTACCATATACAAGTTCTAAATCAAATTTATTATGTACATGTGATCCAAATACAATATTTCGTTATTCTGCTCGTCGTAATACAGATGATTTACATTATTCACCTTATTCTCTGTCATCATTATCACTAACATCCATTCATCTTTTACGATTACCACGTAAACAATTACAAAAAAATTCCTAGAACTCCATTTAAACTTCTTGGTTCAGTTGAACTTCACGATGATTTCTATGTAAATTTAGTTGATTGATCATCAACAAATATTTTAGCAGTTGGACTTAATGCAGCCGTTTATTTATGGAATGCTAATACAAGTAATGTAACAAGATTATGTGATTTACAAACTGAATTAGATGCAGTAACCAGTGTAGCTTGGAATGCTTGAGCATAGTATGTTGCTGTTGGAACACATAAAGGTAATAAAAACTCTGATTTTTTTATCAAAAAGTAAATAAATTTTTTGAAGTGTGGCATTGTATAAATTTGAGATGTAGCAATAAATCGTAAAACGGTTTCATTTCCACGTCATACGGTACGTGTTAGTGCATTAGTTTGGAATGATTTATGTATATATTTAGTTCACATGATCAATTTATTTTACAAAATGATACACGTTCAAATAAACAAGAACATAAATTAGCTGGACATTGACAAGAAGTACGTAGATTAAAATGGCATCTGATAGACAATTATTAGCTAGTGATGTCAATGATAATCATTTATTAGTATGGAATCAATCATGTGTAAACCCAGTTCCAGTCTATACTGATCATACAATAGCTGTTAAAGCTATTGCATGGAGTCCACATCAACAAGGACTTTTAACGAGTGGTGGTGGAGCAGCTGATGGATATATTCGATTTTGGAATACATTAACTGCACAAAATTTACAATCTATTGATGCTGGATCTCAAGTAACATTATCAACAAAAACTTTTTTTTATATATGTCATTTCTTTTATAGATGTGCAATTTAGCTTGGTTAAAACATTCGAATGAACTCGTATCAACGATAAATAAAGGTTTATGAATTAATTATTTTAGTATAAAATGTAAATTTTAGCATGCTTATTCTCAACATCAGATCGTTGTTTGAAAATATCTGTCAATATTACAACTAGCTGGTTTAACAGGACATACATGTCGATTATTATATTTAGCTGTATCGTCAGCTGGTGAATTCATTGTAACAGGTGCAGGTGATGAAACATTTCTATTTTGGAATGTATTTACAAAATGTCGTGCTAATAAAGAATCTGACAGTGTACTTAATTTAACAAAACTCTATAAAAATCTTTATTTTAGTCTTTTTTTTTCATTTATGTACAGTCAGTACTGCCAGTTTTATAACAGTCTTACATTTCACTATTTATTTATTGTTCTTCGTTATCTTGTAGTCTATCAGGTTTTTTTTCTCTCATTTTATTTTTGTTTTCTTGCATTGTATTGTCGCTTTATAATACATTGTTCTATAAAATTGATAATTTTTGTTTCTTCATTCTCATGTTCAAGTTTTTTCTTTGTGAGTATGTGTGAGTGTGAATGAAATTTAAAGAAATAAGAATAACTGAAAAATACTGTATTAAATCGTTTTATATTTATTCCATGTTTGAATTGAAACATGATTAATTGTAAAAGCAAAAAATATGAAAGACGCGAAAATAAAAATCCCGAGAGCAAGATTGATTAAATTTAAATAGTTAAAAGATTATTTTAAAAGTTTTCTTCTAAATCAATGTAGATCTTCAGTTTTTAAGTTCAGTGATAGTTTCTTTTCTATCTGCGATATACTAAAAAGAATATCAAACATTGAAACATGGCTAACTTATATCAAGATTTCGTCTTTCCGAGTTAGATCGTTATCTTAGTTGATATTAAACCATGTATGTTGTTGTCATTTTTGAAGTATGTGGAAAATCGTATTATACACTCTTTGCAGCCAGTGTTTCATGCAGCTGTGATGTGCCTGCGAAGATCTCAATCAATTTTTTTTCGAACACTGTAGTCGGAGGTATTTTATTCAATGTGAGTCAGCATTAGAGTAAGAAGGGTCAAGATAAATGTACAGATATTGATTGCTTGTGAGTCTTCCGGATTTGTGGACTTTGTAACTAACATTATTTGAAGTATATAGATATGTTATAGATAACTTAGTTAAGTTTTGTTAAACAGTATGTGGTCTATCATAAAATCATTTCGTTGTATCTATAAACACATTTTATTGAGTAATCGAGAAAAATGAATTTTTCACGTTCATTTAATAATGAAGTTATAAAAGTGAAAGAGAAGATAACAATTATATTTTGTGATCGTCTTGATAGAACATAGTGAGATAATAACGAGGTTTTTTTCTTTTACAACCTCTATAGTATAAATATTAGTGAAATTTTATTGAGAAATTTCTAATTCACAAAATCTAAATTTTTTTCGAAATCATTACACACGTACTCGATTACATATGGAAAGCTTCTTTTTAAGATAGAAACTTAACAGATAATTTTATGAAATATAGAAATCCTATCTCTATCCATAAATATTATCAACTGTCGTGTTTTCTAGTGAACTGTCATCTTCAAATGTCAAACAGCATCACTCAACAAGTAGAGCCTCAACGTATTATTATTGTACCGAGTATCGGACGTGTACTTGTACGAGATTGTAATTGGTATGCATGGCTTCAAGCTGTACTTGAACAGGATCCAGCTGGTCCATTTACTGTCACTAGCGAGAATCCATGTATACTGTACGGCAACGTTTTTTTCTTTAACGTACGACCTCAAAACTTTAACCTTTCACTAGATAACAGACACACAAACGCTCAACATTAAGTACATAGAAGCCCTACGGTGTGATACCCATATGTCGCTATAGCCCATGTAGCCTTACAGTCTTATAGCCTTATATTTCTTGTAGTTCTTGTAGCCTGACCCTTTGTAGCCTAATCTCTTTAGAGCGTCTCCGCCTTATAGCCTTACCTATGTTGCCATATCACCTTTTTTGCCTTACTGTCTTATAGTCTTACCTCTTACAGGCTTACACCTTTATAGCCTTATCCCCTTATTGGTTATTAACTGAAAATTAGAAGATATGTGAAAAAAAAGTGACAGGAATGTTGTCAATTTTTTAAGTTTACTTATTTGATGTTGATAACAACTTGTTTATAAAGAAAAGTAAGATGTTTAGTAACTATCAACTACTCTAGTTACTAACTGAAGAGACACTGTTTGGGATATTTATGTTTAATAGAAGTCTATTTGATGTTATTGTCTGCATTGATATTGATGTTAGCATCTTCGTCTCAATCTTTCTCTTTTTCGTCTACTCCTCCGTATTTATCTGCGTTCGCTTTATATTATTTATAAGCCTTTCTAACAAAGGATCATCGTTTATAAGCATATCGTAGCATTTATGAACATGTAGAATTATCTATCCACTTCCTCTTGCTTCTAATTATTACCAAAATGAAAATCACCATGCCTACGATTATCACTTTTGGTGTAGGGATCAATGTCCATTTTATTTTAAAATAGAGCCATTGATAACAATTAAATGAAAAGCTATTGGCAAATGATAGCTGCTGTGTGCGAGTGTATAATAGACTGATGATAAAAATACAATAAATACGTAACAGTGAATTAAAAAAAAAATCAAAATTAGACAAGAGATAGTTATACGTGAAATGAATGATTATTTATATTTACTAATTAGTTTTACTTTTTGAAATACGCTTAATTATAGCTGGTGATCGGTTCTATACACCCACAGCCACAATACATGATAAATATCTTTTGTTGTGTAGAAAAAATGCGAAAGACTAAAAAACATCAAAATCAAAAAACAATCAAATTTTCACGCTGAATTTGACACCAAAGTACTATAGCATTCTTCCTAATCGATCTTTAATGAGTACAATAAACTAAAAAATAGATACGAATCTACCTGATAAATCATCTTCGTTTCTGTATAATCCGCCAAAATAATGATATGCTTCTATGTCACTATAAATGAAGTAGAAAATAGAAGATTGCTGTAGTCCGTTGCTATTTATTAACCACAGATTGGACATTTTCAAATAATAAAATTCAAGTACATGATAACATTGAAAGAGACAAACTACTATTTCACACTACACCTATGTTTCAAGAATATAAGCTTAATATTTTCAATACTATGATAATTAGATGTGAAATCTAACGTTAGTATGCGGGTGTGGATGTAAGAGTAGGAAATAACAACACTCACACATCCACACCCGCACCTCCAGTATAATTTAAATTTTTAGCTCGATTTCGACATAAAGTGAAATCTATTTATTCAAATTTTCGAACTGAGTTTTTTTTTTATTTGGAGATTTTTATTAACTTATTTAATCATTCATGATATCCGAGCCTTCTTTATTTTTTGTGAATGCAAAAAAAAAAGACATCAGAACATGAATAGAAAAACTTAGTTCGCATGAAAGAAAAAAGAGAAAGAACAATAAGTCGACATCGAAACAAACTTCAATAAACAAAAAAAAAACAAACAAAAACGATGGCTTCTTATTTCTGAAAGAGTCAAAATATTTACAATTTGCTCTTGGAAAACGAAACACGAAGATGCATTGAATCCGCTAAACGATAATTATGTGTATTCTAAAAAACAAAACAACATCATTTTTTTTAAATAGAATTTCATAAAACAAAATACATACAATTAATGCAGCAATAGCTTGTTCAATTGTATCCATTTCAATTAAGGCCATTTTACGATCTTTTTCAAAAAATTTAAATCGTTTTATTGTTCCATATTGTGAAAATATTTTTCGAATTTCTTCTTCACTTGTTTCAGTACTAAATAAGTAATACAAAAATTTTCTTAGGAAAAAAACAATCGGTATTTGTTTTTATCTCGTACGGAATATTTGATAAATGTAGAACAGTACCAGGTGGAAAAATATTATTATAATTTTTTGATCCTGGTTTTTTAAAACGATGTAACGGAGAATTTGTAAAATCTTTTGTTAAACCCGCATCCTATATCACAAAAGAAAATCATTATAATTATCGTTTTGTTTTCTTTTTTTGTTTTTTTATATTACCGATGTACCATCTTTTGGCATTTGTACAAATTGATGTTTTGAAAATGAAACTCGTATTTGTTTTCCAAACATTGTTATATGATCAAGATTTTGATGAGCTAATATAAATAAAATTAATATATTTACTGAATTAGAATTTTTATATTTACCAACAGCTGCTTGCTGTGCTGTAGCATATTGAATTAATGCTGAATCTTTTTTATTAAATAAAATTTTTACCCGATGCGCATCACCATAAACACCTATGGAAAATCGAAAATTTTTTCTTTTCTTTTTTTTTTTCATGAAAAAAATTTATTTTTCTCTCTTTGAGATATGTCTGTCAAGAATGAGAAAAGAAAGAGAAGATACACATACCGAATAGTGTGAATAAGGACTCTGGAGTCGTCATCTAATCGTCCAAAAGAGGAAAAAAAAAGAGAAGAAATGAATAGATATTATATTCGAAAGATATATGTATGTGTTTTTTTTCTATCATATTCAAATAAAGAAAAAAGATTTTTTGCAAAAAAAATTTAATATTTTTCTTTAACTCACATCTTCATTAAGATTTGATACAAGAATAACTGGACCATTTTGAACAGATATCATATGAGGATTTTGTTGTTGGTGAGATTGCAAATGTGTTGGAGGTAAACCATGAATAGGTGGTGGTGGAGGAGGATGAGCTGAAGCATATGGATGACCATATGGAGTAGCTGTAGCACCTACCATTGGATTATAAGCAGTAGGTGTTGGTTGAAGTGGACTCATTAAATGATTGGCATTGGCTAAACAAAATTATAAATAAAAATCTGTTAGTACAATCCCT